TAGCCGCTACAAATTCATCTGTCATCGCAAGTTTATATATTGCAGAAGTAACCAACGAATTCACATTCTGAGCAAATTATTTAGGGTACTAGTAGACTAGTAGTAGTACTATAAAGTTGACAGCAAAACAGAATATTGATATTCAGCAATAGATTTAAAGTATTTAAAAACGCTATGCGACCGGTTCCCGGTTATAAATGACACTATGTTATATGACCGGTGATTTCCTGTCTGTTACTGTAACGCAGTAATTAAAGGAACAGTAGCCTCTAGGCTCTAGGGTTAGTTTTCAGCTAATTTAGGTTATAATTGCGCTACATAAAAAGTTTCATGGTTCAATCACCATTAGAAATATTTTTTTTAAATGTTTTCTAGGTTCTAGGGTTATTTTAGGCTACTGTTCCTTTAATTACTGTGTTACAGTAACAGACAGGAAATCACCGGTCATATAACAGTAATGTCATTTATAACCGGGAACCGGTCGCATAGCGTTTTTAAATACTTTAAATCTATTGCTGAATACCAATATTCTGTTTTGTTTTGGATTGTTACTTTCGTACAAGTTCATAATTATGCTGTCAACTTTGTAGTACTAATACTAGTCTACTAGTACCCTAAATAATTTGCTCAGAATGTGAATTCGTTGGTTACTTCTGCAATATATAAACTTGCGATGACAGATGAATTTGTAGCGGCTAAGGTAGTGAAATAGCACCCAAATACTGAAATAGTGTAAATGGACGCCATATAGCACGGTGTGTACTTTCGGATTATTATAAATATAATTTATAAATTATATAATTATATAGCCTAGGCCTATCAATATCATGCTAGCTATTAGGGCAGTAACGAATACACTACTCACTAGGTCACGAAAACGATACGTATCACGATGTATGCATGCGAATACGAATATTTCACGAATACGAATACTCGCTTGTTGATGCTGTGTGCGGCCGCCTAAGTGTAAGTGTGTATAATGCCATGTGTGTGCATGTGTGCGTGCGTGTGCGTGCGTGCGTGCGTGCGTGTGCGCGTACGTGTGTTTTCGTTTGTGTGCGTGTGCGTGCGCGCGTGTGTGTGTGTGTGTGTGTGTGTATGTTTGTGTTGTCCGCTATGCCTCCGGACAACTTTCGTCCGTTCGCGAACAACTTTTAGCGGACGCTATGCGCTCGCGATCGATCGAGCCCCGTACTTCAATCAAAGGCGCTGCTGCTATGCACATGGCTGGAAAAACGCGGCATATGGCTATGTAAGATTTTCGTGACATTACTGTACACGTGTATATCACATGTCAACAAGAAAACTGCGGTATTGAGCTGGTATGATACGGTATGATAATTCTAAAATATTTCATCGCGATAATATCGCAATACTGGTATACCGCTGCAACCCTAGTATCCGTCCCTTCACACACGCTCGATATATGGGGTGAGTTACACGTGGTAGTAAGATACACGTCTCGGCCTTCTCGACGTGTGAGAAGGGACGGGTACCAGTCTAGGTGCATTCACGGGGAAAGCTGCAAACAACATTCAGAATTCGAGCAATATCGGCATCGAATACGCGAGTGTATCGTTACAGCCCTACTAGCTATAATATATATATATATATTATAGGCGCTATAGGTGTACTGTTGTACAGCTTCACAGCCCGGGCCCTTTTCAGCCTCAGGCTAGGACCCGAGCTGCGTTGCACTAATTGACACACACTGCTCTTGACACGTTGTATGTGCCACGCAAGCCATGGCTTATTTTTAACTAATGCGAAATTCTTCAGTGTTCTTATGCTATTCGATGACTAAACAGATTCATTTTACACAAATACTGCAGTGTAAGCGATGTCAGCATATTGTCTGGGTCTCATCAATGCATGTAAAGCCACAAATGAGTATCGCTGTTTTAAATCTGTCATTCAATATTGGAATTTGTCATTCGAATTGAAATTCTCTTCCTTTTCGAATTAATTGCGAAATTGAAGCATTCGTTCTTTTGCGATCCACAGCATTGCTGTATCAATTTGATTAACCTTGGCCTTCAGCTTCTTGCGTACAGTCCCGTAAACTTTAAGGCATTATTTTTATGAGATTAAATATTACAAAGGGATTACATAGACTCAGCTAAAAGTTATGCAAATTTGACACATCTATGTTTTATACTTGTCAAGGCTGCTATTAGGATGACATCCACAGCCGAATCGTGGAACAGGAAATGCTGATGATGTTCTCCTGCGTGAGAGAAATGTGCTTGCACCGTGCGTAGTGTGGAGGAAGAACTACAAAGATGATGCATGGTAGAAAAAACAACATCCTAGCGGTGTTGTTTATCGCTACCGTGATCGTGTTCATTTCGACACTGTTCATGGGCAACCACGAAGTTCTGCCTCTTGGTTCGGTTGACAAGGAAGGCATTCGATTGACTAGTGTGCTTGGAAGCATCCAGTACAAATGTAAGAATCCTGTGCCCGTAAAGACGCGTTCTGGAGTTGCGTGGGTCATCTGCACTGATCAGAGTGATCTGTTTCGACGTAATGACAGTGGGACGTCTCACGAAGGTCCTGTGATGTTTTCTGTTGGGTAAGTATCAATTTTGCGTTGTGATGGGACCTTATGACTAGTAGTGTGAGTCGTATCTCATAGACTGATATGTGACAAAAAGTGTTGATAAATTGAATAGTTTAAAATAGTTTAAAATAACATGAGTTTGTTAGACATGACATTCAATCATTTCTGTTGTGGTAATCTCCCTACGTGCTGTGTACGTATTCAACTAATAATTAAAGTAGAATACTTGCTTTAATCATGTGTATTATTAATCTGTGATCACGTTTTGCTCTTTTTTTTACAGAACGAATGATGACGTTGCCGTAGAAGAGAAATTTCTCAACGATGGCTCTGCACACGTTTATGTTATAACTCCAAATGCCTTGCCAGACCAACTCACTGGCAGGGAATATGTTCGACACATACAGACGCTGATAGTGCCAAATGATCCAAATGACTTTGGAAAGTTCATGGAGAACCGGCAGACTCTAAACTCGTTGCTCAAAGGTTTCCCACGTAGCAAGTTGAACTTGTTGAAGTTGGACATCCCGAATCGGCACAAAGATGAGTTGAACTTGTCAGACCTGCTGCATTATATGATTTTAGATGGCGTATTAGGAGGAGTCGAGCAACTCATGTTCACCTTAGATCTAGGTATTGAATCGATACTTATCACTATAGAGCAATAAACGTGACATGCATCTAAACATATTTTTAGCAAAATCTGTCTCAAATACATTTTTAAATAATACCCATGAAACAATTGTAGAGATAGTTTCCTGACAGTCTTTCTCACTCACTCATTAAACTTGGGATAAAAAAAACAAGGCGGTCGGAACTGTCTCCTGGTCTTGTTAGTAGTTATTTTCGAAACTGTTATGTCAGTTACTATACACATCAATGTCATGTGGCTGCTAATATTACCTGACTGTGAAAATTGTGTTAGGATTTTGGTTAGGATTGATGTAATTACCACCGTATATTGCTTCTTCTATATTTCAGCGGGATTAAATGAGGACCAGTTGTTTGATTGGTACAAGCTCCTACACCAGTTGTTCCACAAGGCTGATTTTAGGCTCTTCAGTGTTCGCGTCTCTTCAGCTGGCGTGCAGGCATATAATCTCAGTTGGGTGAAGCAGCCTAAAGGACACCCATTCATCATGCAGCCACCGGCTGGTTATGGTATAATCTGCTAGCCTTTATGTCATAATTTCTTCTTCCTCACATGGCATTTAGCCGAGCATTCTAGTTCTGGCTTCAGATAAACAGCACTCATGTTTTACGTAGTTGGCTGCTTTAACAGAAAGTATCCCCAGAGCCATGACATATTTAAAATATGTATATAGTATGTACATAGATTTTATGAATTTATTCATGACGATATCCTAGACATCTTCCAATATTTGCTGGCTGTTATTACATGTTGTATCCTAAGTGCTGCCCTACATGATATGTGCATCTGTCAGCTATGTAATGAAGTCGAAACCTTATCATCTATCTTTAGCTCCCAACTCATGGTGCGGTACACCGTACACAATATAATACTTTACAGCTGTTCAAAGTGCAAGCACCTACCTTACTATTGAATAAGAAATCTAGCTGGTCATAGCTAGCTAGGATTCTACTTGTTGCATTGCAGGGACATCCATGGAAGAGCGTGAGCGATTAGAGAACTTTCTAGCCGAACCACAGGTGAGCATTTATTAATAATAATAATAATAATAATAATGATATAATTATTATTATTTTATAATAATAATGATTTAATACAATATATTATAATAATATTGTAAGTGCTTTTTCTTCGACAGTTGATTTTACATGTTGTGCTAATGCTATAGGTGGCATGTGGGAAAGAAAATGAGATGGGCGGAGTAAGGGTCATTCCAGTTTCAACAGACCTGACCAATGTGAAACGAGAGACCTACTCGGTGTGCCTCAGTAGCAAGTATGGGGTGGCACCACCCTGCGTTGTTTATTCTTTGGGGTAGGTTATATTTTTCACTTACACAAATAAAGTTAATAACCATGTGAAAAATAGATATTAGATTAAATTTGAATAACCATTTGACTGATTTTAGAGGAATTACAAGTTCTAAAGAATTTATTATATACTCTACTTTGATAGACATTGTATGGAAATTTGCTGTGTCTTTAGCTTGTTATGTAATTATCTGGCTTGACTGCTATGAGAGTAGGTGTAGGCCATAGATGTTTAATACTGATGAAACTCTGGTGGAAAAACACCTTTGTTGATTATTGCTATTCAGTAGTTGAAAATTGACTGAATAAAATGTTTTTCAGGGAGGAACAGTCGTTTATCGAAGCAATTGAAGCTACTGGCTGTTCTGTGTTTAAATTAGTTCAGCACGACCTTCAAAATGATAAAATGGGCAATTCATCACATTGGCACCATATAGTAGGTTTTCCTAGGTAAGAATATATAATATAGCGAGCAAAAAAAGACAGGTTACTGTTGCTTGACTAACAGGCATATAGGTGTGGAGATTTCAGGGGGGGGGGGGGGGGCTGACGTCATACAGCCACATTACAGTTCTATTTTTAATTCAGGTGTGTGGAGTGACTTTTGTTTTAACGACAAGCACATGCATTCTTTACCATAAGATCTTGCAAACTAGGCTTTCAGCATGAGAACCATTTTGAGCATCTGCTCACGAACTGACAAGAGTGTCTGTCACATTGGTCAGGTCTGGTGGTAAGCAGCGGTGGCAGAAACAGCAAGCACAGGATGTCTCGGGCCATCAGCGTCCCAGCGTAGCACTCGTTAAAGTTCATGGACCACTGCTGCAACTCTGGCCACTACTCTCACGGATACTCGATTCAGGATTGCTCGAGGTTTGTGGAATAGTGTCGTACGCGAGAAGAACAACAGAACAACATGATACTTTCGCAGATCCGTTGTTTCAAACTCATCTCATTTGTTGTCTCATTTAGTGAACTTTGATAACTTCCTATTTATGTTCTTAAAATTTTAATATGGCTGCAGTGGAATAGAATCTTGTTAATTAAACAACAACGTCGGCGTGTTTCACATGTTTGTCCCCATGTGTTTAGGATGTCCACCAGGTGGCGCACACGGTGCCAGTGTACAGCGTGGAAAAGAATCTGATGCGGCGGCAGCACTATAGCGAGCTGAAGCGACTGCAGGAGTATGGCTTCAGTCTGTTCCACACCGAGAGCCAGCCGCAGTTTAGCAAGCCGGGCTATCAGCTGTACCAGCTCTCCTGGATCAGAAATGCAGGTGCCGTTTAGAGAGATTGTTCCACGTTTGCACATAGGTGGAGCTGGCAGTGCACCGTGTCGTATTTTAGACCGCTGATCTAGATGTAGCAACTGGATGGCGTGCTATGGGAATTATGTGATGTCGATCGGCTGTCATATTGGTCGGCCCTAAATGAATGATCAGCAGAGGTTGGCAAGCAAGATCTTTTAAAAATCTTTTCTCAACCACTATGGTGGCCAAATCACCTCCACTATTGGTATTGCAGTGATAGGACAATGTGTTGTCCAGTTTATATATAGGTTAGTGATTGAGACATGCTTTTAGTGGCCGTAAACGAGCAGTGGCAGCTTAAAGATCTAGAAGGGTTGTGTGGTTCACTTTCAACATACGATTGAAGTGTTGTAGCTTGTATTGAATAAGAAGTGACTGAAATGCTAATATACCTTACTAATATACCTGTGTTACACGTGAAAGACCATAATTTCACAGTTGAATTTCAAAGTCAAGGTTTGATTGAAATAGATACAAGCATGTGCTGGTGCATTGTTTGTGTTCATCAGATGCATTGATTTTCTTCATTTCGTCAAACACTGCACCATCGTAACTTAATTGTGTCACCGAAATATGAACTTTAGTGATTTCCCTTTATTTGTGGTTTTGTCAGGGTATCTATGCATATCATGTTTATCGCCTACCACCGACCATGTTATGATTTGTGATTTGCATTGTCTTTTACTTTTACTATAAATTTTTAGGTGCTTGTTTCTTGTGTAAATATTTTTTGGTAGTGTTTTACTTTACTGATCATTTTTTGTGGTCATGCCTCTTAGCTTATTAATACAATGTTTTAAGCAGTTTTACAGATTATAAACTTTATAGGGTAATGTTAGAGGAGATAAGTGACCAATTATGGACAAGGAACTATGAGGGTGAACAGCAAGAGAAACAACAGGAAATGAATGAGAGGCAGTATTGGGGAATAAATGTCATGGATTTAAAATCTGCACTTGATATTCAGGGAGACGGAAATATAAGCGATGTAGGAAACACAACAATATAACACTAATGCCCACGTTATTCGTCACTACAAAGTCGGTTGATGTTTGGTAGGACAGGAACTTGGAACTTTTACCATTTATATCTAGTATAAAAACTGGTACAAAAGTGTTTTGAATGCTCTTAAATGTTTGTGATAAATTACGTGTATGGTGGGTTGGTACATGATGTATGCATCATCATGTTGTGTTGTGGTTCACATTCTGTATCGTACGTTCGTATATAATGTATATTATTTGTACATTTTGTTGTGCACGGCAAAAAAAACCAATATGATCATGTTTATTAATGATAACTAACAAGTTTACTTACCACCGAACAAATGTAAAAATCACAGATATAAAGACCGAACTTCTAAATTTAAACGAATATTTTTCCACGTCTTTTGTTTTATTCTTTACAAATGTCAACAATATTTACACCGGCTGGTTTATAATACAATCACGTGCAATGATCTGGGGTTTGTTCGCATGTATGTATATGTTCACAGGACAATTTCACAGATTTCTTCCTATAAAGAAAGGTTCAGCACAAAACTTAAGCAGAATTTTGTACACCATACTACAGTCAGGATATCAACTCGTGACGTATTGGTAATTCACGATGAATTGGTAATAAATATGCATGCTAACATTTTTACAGTCATAAAATTGTCAACAATAACTGTCGGATCTGATTTAGAGGACAGTGACTGTCACACACGGTCACACCACTGAGATAAATATGACGCATGACATGTAAATGTGTAATGCAAAATTCCCCTTTGTGTGCCAGATCAGTCATTGATCACCACTTGCCACGCTTGGACCAGTCCTTTGCTGTCCAGTGTAGGCACTTTGGGTCTATGCGCAGCTTACGTTTCTGCATGGCTCGCATGTGACTTTCGAGCACCTCCTTTGTGAGTACAATCACATACTGGCCCTTGTAGTAGTTGATCAGGTTTAGGTATTGCAGCGTTGAGATCACGTCCTCTTTTTTAATGGAAGTCAGCTCAGATATCTCGCTGAAAAGAGACCATATGGCATTTTAGTCATCATGAGATATCACTGCTGTAGAAAGGAGTGAATAAAAACAAAGAGAATTGGGCAGACACCTAGAAAGATAATTGCATGACAACAGCAAAACGATACAACGCTTCATAACACAAGACATAACAAGACAACTTCATAACAAGACAATTCATAACACACATTTGCACGCACGCACACACGCACACGCACGCACGCACGCACACACAAAAACAACAACAACAACAACGTGACGACAATAACAGATGCCCTAAAAGTTACTTCCCTGTCTGTTGCACTGTTTTCATGAAAATGTTCATAATTTGTTCGCAGAATATGCTTTTTTTTTTAGAAAGTTCATGCATAGTTTATGTTGTCAAAATTTAAACCCTATGTAGGCTCAACTATACGCAGGTGTGTTACATACTTAATCGTAATCTGTGGTCTCTCTCCATTCTCGCTCGGCTTCATATCGACTAAGATCTCTAGGATTGTGTGTGACCAGTAGCTCCTGTAGGACAACAGCCCAAGGTCAGAGAGTGGCTTCTCAGGGGAACCCGTTTTGCCTTCGAATTTAGAAAGTTCGTAACCTGGAATTCACAGAAATGGTAGTTCAGTGTAGTTGAAGCATAAATGTGACCGGGTCCGATATGTGACCACACAGTGCCATCTATTGAGAGTCACATAAACTAATGACTATTTCCTCACAGAATATATCGATTATTCAACATATATGGCTCAAACTAAACCTTGAATTTAAATCAAATGAAGCACGGTTAATCTAAATATATAGAATGTATACTTACAACAATAATAATTTAAATTTACATATACAGCAAATTCTAGGTAAAACAGATGCTTTTATGCAACAAGAAATTGTATGTAACAGTATTTCGAATGTAAAGAGTCTAAGGTTTACTCTTACATAGTTTACCATGTTATATACATACTAAATTCTATAAGAAGTCTGCCAAATCCTTTTCGCTGGAAGGGAGGAAGAGTCAAAATACACGCAACATTGTAGTCTTCCGTAGATTCTTTCTCCTGAAGTAAACATTAATAAGACTATAACATGCAATATATTCACAAGGAGATCATTTATCAGTCTGTAAAATTACAAGTTTTTGTAGATTTTCCAGTGGTACTCTACACATGACATAATGGCATACAAAGAGCCAAAGAAATCCCTATCTCGATACAAAAGTCTATATTCCAGCAAACCACAACAATTCTCTATAAAAAACTTGGCATCCTTAAATTTAATTTAGGAACATGGCACATGCTTGCTCTATGCACAGAGGTGAATTCCATGGAGCTAGAATGGGATTCGCATGATATATGCAGGCAAGTCATATGACGTGACATCACGTGACGTCACATCACATCACGTCACCTCACGTCACCTCACGTCAAGTGCAGATTAATGTAGAGCATTGGATAGTATTGCAGATGGGGTCATTGTCGTATCAAGTACTACAGATATGTACCCGAGGTAGTTTTAGGTTGTTTAGTATTATGTTTATATTTTTATATGAGGTATGTTTAGGGTTAGGGTTAGGGTTAGGGTACACTTCTGTGGTACAAGTCTGGTACACTTTGTGTATACATATATGTACCTCGGGTACATATCTGTAGTACCTGATACGACAACGACCCCTTGAGCGATAGTATTACTGCGGGGCCTTGTGCTGATACATAGCACTGCTAAACAGGTTAAAGTGCAGGATGCATAAATGCCATACCTTAGAGAAATAGCCAACTACATGAAACCCTCGATCATCACATTCGGTCATGACATAGAAGAGAAATGGGTCAGTGTCATAATAGAGCGTCTTGTGGTCCAGAAATAGCTTCGCCAACAGACACAAGTTCTGCGAGTATATCTGCAAGAGACAAGGTTGCATTCAGAGTACTATTGGTATCACTGGAAATGCGCTGCAGCGAAAATGCTTTACTTCAGCATACAGCCATACACACCTTGTTTTTCCGGCCGTCGACCTCAAAAAATGATATCGATTGTTTTCTGTAGATTTCATTTCCTGGTGGGTGTTTCAGTGGACATTTCACCTGTTGACACATGGAAACAATTACGCACGGTCACAGTGATGTGGACTGCAAGCTAATGCCAATTTCCTTACTGTACCAATGTCAGCAAACATTATAAAAGACTCACCAGATGTCGCTCTAGGCACTTGGAACTTTTTACGTACTTCAGACAAAACTCACACAGGTAAACAACAGGTATGTTTGTCATCTCCTGCAAAATATGAAAATAACAATATCATCATTACCAAAATTGATAAACATACTACGTTGCAAACAGGACTCCGTTTGCCTAACTTCCTAGTTGCACCATATTTGATAGAAGGATTACACGATTTACCATCTAAAATTAAAGCGAGTAATCGCGATCTGTTTGATCTAAATTTTTCGTAAATCACACATAGATTTTTCCGCCTAAAGCATCTGTTCTCTATCAGACACACAGCTCGTGTGCAACCGGTTTGCATACTTTTTACTATTATTTTTAACTCTAATTTACAGATTTAACAACAATTAATTAATTAATTATATTTTATATTTTTATACATTGGTAAACGTGAAAAAATGAGCTTCCGGGCTTCTCGTCACCAAATTTTGTCTGCACCTGGGAATAAGGAGAGAAGTACCTGTGGATATGGAAATCCATACATGTATGCAGATCACTACAGAAGCATCTGTGGATAGGGAAAGGCATACCTGGCTATAAAGAAAGAACTACATGTGGATGTGAAAAGGTATACATATGGAAAGGGAGAGAGAAGCACCTGCAGATAGAAAAAGGCAAACCTGGGTATAGGGAGAGAAGTACCTGTCAGCAAGCAAAGGTGTACATGTTTCAAGAGAGAGAAGCATCTATGGATAGGTAAAGCCATACTCGAGGATATAGAGAGAAGTACCTGTAGGATATGGTAAAGGCATACCTGGGGATAGGGGGAGAAGTACCTGTGGGATAGGTAAAGGCATACCTGGGGATAGGGGGAGAAGTACCTGTGGGATAGGGAGAGAAGTACCTGTCAGTAGGTAAAGGCATACATGTTTCAAGAGAGAGAAGCATCAATGGATGGGTAAAGCCATACTGGGGGATATAGACACAAGTACCTGTGGGATCGGTAAAGGCAGACCTGGGTATAGGCAGAGAAGTACCTGTGGGATAGGTAAACGCATACCTGGGGATATGGGGAGAAGTACCACGGCTTCAACCTGTACTTTCCCAGCTCGATCATGGTGATGTTCTTCATGCGAGTGACGACGTCGTCAGGGTGGTGGGTGCTCATGCTGCCAGTCTGTCGCGGCGTCGGCGGCTGGTTGGACTCCTGAGAATCTTGAGACTGTGAGCAAACAAAAGGACGGTAAACACAGACACTCTAACATCTCATGGGATAAAAATACAGAAATCAAAAACGTCTGACCGTAAATCCTTCTTATTATGATTTATGAGCAGCCATATCTATAACTAGTTATCAATATTCTCTGCCTCATATTCGTGATACTTGTTGCATTTGCAACGAGCGATGCTCATTACATATCTCATAAATTGTTAGGCTTAGGCCATATAACATTAGGATCACACATGCATGTGTTCCTACAAGAAATAGAAGAAGTACAGGAAAATATATGAAATTTTCATACTACTATGACATCCACAGCTATGCCACCCTCAGCCTTCAATTTCTTCTTCTTTGGCTGTTGCTTTGGACCTACTGGTGGTGCTCCATTCTATTAAAATAGATCTAGGTAGTAGCACGGTTAGGTAGTAGGGTTAGTAAATTTTGATTTATAAATACTTAAAGGGACAGTAGCCTCTAGGATTTTACTGCATACAACTGTACTTACTGTATAACAAATCGTCTATACCCACACGTATTTGTTACCAGATACCTTGTTATACCTTGTTATACCATGTTGTTATCAGATACCTTGTTATACCTTATTTACACATCAACGCTACAAAATTTGAACGGCGCCATGACACCCGCGACCGTGCTGCCACCCCGAAAAAGTTGCGTATTTAACAATTTATTTTGCAGGTTA